TGAGGGCAATGAATATACAAATGTGCTTTACACAATTGATGTATGTATGGATTGTGATAAGAGTTTTATGAGGCCCTAATAAAACGATTAAAAAAAAGAGAAAAGGTAAAACAATTTGTTGTTATTTTGGTTGTGTATTCTCAGTCAATTCTGATTGATGGTAAACCTATAAGACAGAGTAGAACTGCCCCACAGGACTTCTAAGGCTGTAATACTTATGGAAGCAGACTGTCATACCTCAGAGATAATAAAAAGATAAATTGGGGCTGAAGGTTCAGGATGAGGGAAAAAAGAATGAAAATGAGTAGATAAATTGGTGCTTTTGTAGCAATGAAACTATTCTGAATGTTACTATAATGGTGTATACCCAACATTATACATTTGTCAAAACCCATAAATGTCCGCAATGCAAAGATTAAATTAGATTCTAATCTATGGATTTTAGTTAAAAATAATATATCAATATTGTTCCATCAAGCATGACAAGTACAGCACAGGAGTGCACAAAGTTAACAAAAGGAACAGCGCTGCTGGCGGGTAGGGTGGGGGCAGTAACCAGGGAATTTTCTGTACTTTGAAATTTTTCTGTAAGGCTAAGAATGCTGGAAAAAAAAAAAGTCTATTGGTACCTGGATATCAGAAAGAATATCCATTGAGGTGTTAAAAGTTTGTCTTTAAACAAGCAGTCATCTAAGTGAGATGTCAACTAAGTCCACATGGAAGAAGCACACCAGCCTGTGTGATCCAAGGATTGTAAATAATAAAATCCAAATCTGAAGGAGGGAGAGTATCACAGCTTAAATTATGAACTCCTGGTTTTCAGAGGCTATGGATGACAGTGGAAGCCCCAAATCCATTTGGAGGGTCCACATAAGAGTTAAGCCTCTGGTGAATCCCCTCTCACCATAGTTGAGGAATGTGAATACTCTTGTTAGTAGACAAAGAATATTATAAAGTCAATTATGGCAGACACAATAAGATTAAATGTAATATCTTGTCAGTTGATCTCCCTTTTGATCCATTTTAAAGTTGTTTCAGCTTAAAAAAAAAAGTGATAGGGAAATACACATGGATTAAGCCTCTGATGAAGAATCCTCTCTGACTACAGATCAAGGGTATGAATAATCTTGTATTCATGCAGAATGCATTGTAAAGTAGATTGCTGCAGATGCAATTAGGTAAAAATTTTAACCCCTGATCACTTAATCTCCCTTTTGACCTATTTTCAATTTTTTAATATTTCTGCCTTCTTTCGATTGAAGTTTTTCTCTATTTTTCCGTTAGTGTTGTTAGTTTTGTTTTGTTTTTCAAATAATGTTCTGTACATGAAATCCAGGATAGGTCAATCTGTACAGTTATAGACAGTAACTGGATTGATGTTTTCTTGCGAGAATGGTAGGGGTTGTGGGGGGAAATAAGAAGCTAGTAGCAATGTATACAAGAACAAAGAAAATGCTCTAAAATTGATTGTGGTGATGACTGTATAATTCTTCTTGATATGATTGAACTATTGAATTGTATGGTTTGTGAATTATATGCAAAAACCGTTTTTTAAAAAATCAATACAATTAATTGGTAGGGATTCAAAAAGTTAACGGGAAAAGTCCGTTCCCTTTTGGGTTTGGCAGCCCAACACAGTGAGTGAGTAGCCCACCGCACACCACTAGAGCACCTTCTATTATCTTTTAATACCATTTTCCGTCAACTTTTTGAAGCCCTTCTCTCGTGTATTCATGCGAGTGGTTTTTTTCTTTTTAAATCAGAGAATAGGATTAAGATTAAAAAGAAACAAGACAGAATAAAAATGCAAAACATATTTTTCAAAGTATTTTTGTTATTATTCTAAACTACCTAATTAAACCAAATAAAACCAAAATGTGGCCTGACCAGACATAACATGTCTTATGATAAAATGACCTGACAATAAAATGTGTGCAACTCAGTGATCAGTGTGTTACACTGTAGAGGACTTTGCATTTTTATTTACGGATCAAATTTCCTGGGATTATTGGGTGTTACTGGGTCTACAGCAAGTTTAACCATTTAACTTATTGGAAGTTACTGGGTCTTCTTCCAGCAAGTTTAACCATTTTCTCCTGATGGTAATAAGTTCCACAAAGTACTAGTCTAGCAAAAATATTTTTTGAAATAAAACCAACATCTTTGTTGTCAAGTTGATTCTCACTATGATCCTACAGAACAGTCAGCCTGTAAAACAGTGTAGAACTACACCACAGGGCTTCTAGAGTTATAAATATCTAGAACATTTTTTTGAAGAATAAAGTACCTTAAAAATTGGTACATTGGTATTTCTTTCTTTCTCCTTATTTATTCATCGTAAGTAAAGTCATCAAACTAAAAGGTACTTAAAAGGTACACCCACAACAGTGGAAGTGGTAGTGAATTATTTAATGTGGATCTTCTAAAAAAGGTCTCTGTAACTCCCAACAAATGACCTTCTCCTGCACGGGTCTAGAAAAGGTGGTGTGGGAAGACACTTATAGGAATCACCTATGAGTTAATTGTTAACAGGATGAATTATTATCGCCATCTTATTGAGAAGAAAACCAGCCCTCTGAGAAGCAAGAGGGAGGATCTCACTACTAGCAAGAGCCAGAAGTGGAGTATGCCCTCTGGACCCCCCAAATCCCTAGGCAGTGAACCTCTGGATCCAGGTGACAGCTATAACATCAGAGGAGCAACAGTAGAAACAGCAGCCAGAGGATGAGATGGAGGAGTGGACTTCCCTGCCCACAGAGTAAATAAAGCTGAGGGATTTGGGGCAGGAGGCAGGCTTGTGGAGTGGGGTGACTCTGGGTACTTATTGTGGGAGCCGAACTTGCTGAGCATGGAGGTAGAGCCGAGTGCCTTCAAGCTGTTACTGAAATTGGGCGCCGATGGACACTAGATTTGGAGAACTGGGTTTGCCGACCTTATAGAGCTAGAGCTAAATGCCTTTGGGTTGAAATTTAAAAGAGTGGAAAGCTTTAGGCATTTATCAGCAGCTCTGAAGCAACTTTGGAACATGTCTTCATACACAATTGTAGCCTGAGCATTTTTCACTTGCATTGCAATCCGTTAACTTCTTAAATAAGCTCTGGGATCATAAACATGGTCTGTGAGTTCGTGTTGAATTGCTGAACTCAGTAGCTAGAAAAGTAGAGGGCCGTGAATGACAGGATAGTCATCAGACTAAAAGATATTTTTAAAGTATACCAATAAGACATGTTGATCATGTACATCAAAAACACTTCTTCTATTTGATTTTGTTTAGGTATTTTTGTTTAAAATCTTGTAAGGCCTGTTAATATTTCCACAATACTTTTCACTTCCAATCTAACATGCAATTCAATCTGAAAATATTCAAACCCTTGAGCTTTCATGTCAATATTTAATAAATGAGATTAATCTTTTCAAAATGCTTTCCACTTTTTCAACTACAAGAACCCCAGCATATACCACAGATTCATTCTAAGTACAAGACTTTTGCCAAAAGCAAAAGCACTCAATATATTATTTTAATAATGAAAACCTCAAGTATTAGAAACCAAGCTGTATGTAGAAAAAAAAATCATTTAGGTGAAAGGGTAACAACCATTCAAACCGAGGATAAAGCAGCCCTGAGGAAATATATGCATATGAATAAAGTTTATGAAATTGGTTCAATGCCTTTACAAAGAAAAAATAATTAGTTTATTTTAAAGCTGCCTATAAAATGTTTTCAATAATGTAATATGAATTATTTATAGAAAAATATACATCTAACTTTAAAGTTAACATTTTATTGAAAATTATTGAGTATTGTGAAAGGAACTAGAAACAGAAATCCATTGTTTATTTTTTTTAAATCCATTGTTTTATGTATGTACTGTTTAGGAGTCTTTTTTGAATTAAGTGGTTTAAAAATAATATTTATTGTTAATCTATGTGAATCATGAAGATCTTTTTTCTTTGAATCATGAAGATCTTATTCTAACTCTTTCACAATTTAAGAAGTTAAACTGAGAGTGGGATGTTGATTTGATTTTCAAATTTAAAACAAATGCCCTTAAACTTGATAAGTATAAGTCCATTGCTTTAAAATCTTAACTGCTAATTAAAAGACTAGACAGATATGTCTAAGCTTAAACAAGAAAAAATTAAGTGTTTTGAAATATTTTAAAAAATGTTTTTGAAGCTACTGCAGAAACCTTATGAAGGAATTTATTTGGATTTGAAGTTATACTTTATTGGTATTATGTGCACTATAAAGAACCTGCAAATGGGTTCAAGAGTTGCATATGTGTAGAATATTCCTTTTGCCCGATTTTCTGATTTCTACTTCATGCAGCACAAACCATAGATACTGTAAACCTATACTTTTGTGAATTTTTCTTTAGAGAATTATGGAAGTAGCTGATCCTATTCCATCCCCCAAATATACAAAGCTACAGTTACCTCCCATTACAAGCAAATTCAAATATAAAGGAAAATCACTTCCCATGCCTCACCTCTCAAAAGTTTCTTAATACATCGGAATTTTAAAGCAAAAAAAAGCAAGGTAAATCCAGGGTACGTGCCCCCTTCACCACGGCTGGTTTGAAAAGCAGATCTAGATAAAGGTACCAGTAGCTGAGTGAGAGCTTCGTTGCACGCTCAGTTCTCAGCCAACGATGTAAGTCATCATCTCACTGACCTCTAGACCAGTGCTGAGCGCTCCTGAAATAGTGTCATCTGGTTGTGCAAGAAAGATGGATATAATGATAAAACAATTTTAAAGAGCAATTGCTAAATTTAACCTATAATTTCTATAACATAAAAACTGTCAACTTTTGATCACTAGAGGGCAGTAAAACACTAGAAGGTATATTTAAATTACTTACCAGAAGTGGCAAAAGCCAAGTCAATGCATATTTGTTGGGAGGAAAACCAAAATCATTACAATTTAATACAAAAAATTTAATACCTTTTTAGTTAAAATACAAGGCATTCTTTAGTGTGTCACTGTAGATTTAACTTACTTTGCAAAATCCAAGTAAGAAACATGTCCATGATAAAATCCTGGTTTCATCTCTTTCCAAGATGTTATATTCTTTACAAAGCGCACCTAAAGAGAGAACACACTTAATGTTTAAGTACATTTTAAAGAAAATTTAAAAATTGATGATGGTAAAATATTTTTTAGTTAGCGTCATTAAAAACTAATCACACTATTTTGATGATTACAGAGCACGAAAAAATAGGTTTAGACAAAGGACAGTAAAATCTGTAACTTTTAATTCATCTCAGCACTACGACTCATACCCAGAAGAGTGAGACAGTTGTGAAAACACAAACACATACTAGCTAACACATGAGAAAATGCTCTCAAACACTAATCATCTGGGAGATGGGAATCAAAACAGTGATACACTCATTATGTAGTCCAATTCAGAAAACAAACAAAGGTAACTCCACGCCGTCTTCAACAAATGTTGAAGACGGCATGGAGAAATTGGAACTCTATACATTGCCGTGGGTTTATAAATATGTAAAACCACCGTGGAAAGTGATACAGCGACATGGTGCTTTCTAAAACAACAGGGTGCAGAAGCATTCAACTGTGAATTTGAACAAATGACAGTTTGAGAAGAACAGGAATTTCAGAACACTTCATTGGGCTCCTGCAGAAAGCATACAAGGGTCTAGAGGCAGTTATGTGAACCGGAGAATACTGCAATATCAGTAGGATGTCATCAGGGTTGTATCTATTCACCACACTTCGGTATGCTGAGCAAATAAGCAGTGAAGTTGGATCCCTAAAGAGAGAAGCTGGATCCCTAATGAGGCATTAGGATTGGAGAAAGGCTTATGAACTTGCAACATGCATGTGAAACAACCTTACTTTTGCTGAAACTGAGGACAATTTAAAGTATTTCCTTATGAAGATCAACGATTACAACTCAATATAAAGAAAACAAAGAATAGAATAGAAAAAAAACTGGTAACATGACAAACGGAGGAATGATTGAAAGTGTCAAGAATTTTGCCTTAAAAAAAAAAAAAAAGAATTTTGTCTTACTTGGATCCACAATCAATACTCATGGAAGTCAAGAGCTTAAATGACATATTGGGCAAATCTGTACAAGATATTTTTAAAGTGTTGAAAATGAAGGATATTTCTTTGAAGACTCAGGTGTGCCTGAGCAAGTTATAGTATTTTCAGTATCCTTATATGCATGTGAAAGTTGAACATGCATATTGTGCTTGTCAGGGTAGACTAGAGAAACAAATTCATACACACCTATGTGTATAGGAAAGAGTGTGCTGGTCTGGGTAGACTAAAGAAACAAATTCATAAACACGCCTAAGTGTATAACAAAGAATTTTATATATCAAAGCAGTTGGAATATTGAGAAAATGTCCCAACCCAGTTCAGATCAAGTCCATAAGTCTGATATTAACCCATATGTCTGATACCAATATAAAAGTCCTCTTCAGACTAACACAACACATGCAATGATGCTGAGTGCAGGAAGATCACAGGCCAGTGGGT